TACCACCAGTTCCGGTTCACCAACATTATACCACCAGTTCCGGTTCACCAACATTATACCACCAGTTCCGGTTCACCAACATTATACCACCAGTCCGGTTCACCAACATTATACCACCAGTTCCGGTTCGCTTGACGCAGATGCTGGCAACAAGAACGTGCCGATGAAGGCGTCTTGTCTTGGCAAGCGCCTCTGCTACATCAGGCTTCGTTTAACGCTTGTTGATCAGCATCGCTGTGCCAGCACAATCACTTCATCATTATAAATAGATAATTAAAGAGGGATAGTCTGGTCCGTATCTTGCTAGTGATTTTCATACATTATATTCTGATATTCGTATTAAAACGGTATTAATTTTGCATGTCGGCAAATACGAGCTCTCATTTACTTTTTTGTGAGAGAAATATTTGATAAATTTTCTCCTATAATTGATGCATTTTGTTGGAGATAGATATAAAAAGTAGTATATATTTGTAGAATAGTAAAAATTAGGAAGTATTGCTCAAAATGGAGGAGTGTGCAAAATAAAAGACATGAAAAACAGGTTCAAAAATATATCAATGTAAATCTTTTGCAATTGATTATTTAAAAAGACCATATTAGTTACGTTTAAGCTTATTTTTTCAGAGTATACTAGAAAAGCCCTTACATCCTCCTTTTATAAGATACAGAATTATTTCAAGATGGCGTCTCCCCGCCATCCGAATTTTCTGTCCCTCCTCCTCATCATCTCCTCGATCGGCAGCATCTGCAACGCTGACCTAACTGTGGGTGAGTCATCTTTACTAAAGTGACAGTACCGTCAATGATAATTGAGTCGTCACGCCTCTGAATTCAATCCACAATTGACAGTACCGTCAATGATAATTGAGTCGTCACGCCTCTGTTATTTACCCAAAAATCCCTAAGTGGTAAACACCACCTTGGCCTGTTGGCCATTTTTGAAGGCAATAAGTGCCCTTTTTAGCCATCCATTATGATCCATAAACTGTTATTGTTAGTAGGCTAATTGCAACATAAAAAAAAACACTTCAAAAAGACAAAAAAACTGAAAAAATCAAAAAAATCAAATAAATCAAAAAAATCATGAAAAATAAAAAAAAAATCATTGATTTTTGATTTTTTTTTATTTTTTCTAAAAAAATAAAAAAATCGCCAACCCTGGGTAGTGTGTTCTTTGACATGTTTTACAGCATCTCTGTATGAAATCTTGTCAACTGAACGGGTTTTTTCCACCAGTGCTTCAAATTTCATATGGGGACATCCCCCGTAGCTGGCTGTGTGTGCACCTCCACAGTTGCAACATCTTGGTGCTCGAGTTCTAGAGGAAGAGCAGTCCCTAACACTGTGAGGCCCCTGCAAGCAACACAATGGGCTGGACCCCTGCAATCAATAGCATTGTGCCCAAAATTTTGGCATTTGAAACATTGCCATGGCTTACTAACATATGTTTCCACTTTGAAACGCTGGTAGCCTAAGTATACAAAGGGAGGGAGAGATTTAGTTGCAAAGATCACTTTGAACATTGATGTTAGGACCCTATCTCTACCTTTGTGTATTCTTTCTGCTGAGGCGTCACAGTATCCTGCCAGTTGCAACTCTTGAGTTAGATCCTCATCTGAGGTCTCACTACCAAAAGGACCTATCACCCCTGTTGACATTACTTGATTGAGTGGGAGACGGCATTTAACATTCCAAGTCACAATTTCTGTTGTGGAAAGGAGCTGAGGTATGCATGGTGCAGATGGGTTATGTTTTCCCATGTTAATAATCACAAGTCCTCTACTAATGTTCTTTTGCATTTCCTTTATACCAATTTTAGCAAAAGTATGAGTTAGCTAAAGCATTACTGAGAGATATGTCATTCGCAAAGAATTTTGATACTGGCCGTTCATCTGGAAGAGGCTCCACAACAATGACCAGATCATGGTTAACATTACTATCTGTAGGGTCTTCCGATAGATCTGGAGAGCATGACGAGGAGAGGACCCTCTGAGCAGCTGTAAGGACAGACTCCGCATCACTCGCATCATTCAGACCTGATGAAGGCATAAATGATGGATATGATGGCAATGGGCATGAGGGAGGGTCACGAGAGTGGAACCTCTGACCAGCTGTAATGACAGATTCCGCATCACTCATATTGTTTAGATCTGATGACTCCAATGAAGTATTGAAGCCCTCAAAATTTGCATCAGCACCTTCATCATGCATATTCAAATTCATTTTTTCCACCGTTTTCACCATCTCCAAGCCCACCCCCAAGCTAGGGCCTTCAAATTCTACTGAACTGAGGGCATTGCTTGTCCTATTTGCGTACTGGATCTGTGAGTCTGAGCGACATGGCGGCAGGGAATTATTGTGAGTACTTATTGGTCCATCGCCGTGCGTCGGTCTTAACCCTTTGCAAGGCCCCATGCCCTTGGCCCTTGGGCCCCTCTTGCAAGTTGTAATGGTCTAAAGTCAACAGTTCGACCCCATCCCCATGGTCTCATCACAACTCCCTTTAGAAATATGTGGAGTTTCGAAATTGATAGTAATAAATCAATAAATATTTGAACTGGGAAATTCCTTAGTTACTTACGTTGGTTCCACAATGATATCAATGACGTAAAAAATTACAATGACATCGGTTAAGAACTTAAGCCTCAGCCATGGTTCTAGCTTTGCTAAGTCCTTACACTCTTACCTCGTAATTCATGATGTTAGAACTTTGATATTCAGATGTTGAATATCTGTCAAGTGTCAATATCACAATCAAAATTATTTCCCAATCAGAAATATGTTATAATATCACAATCGAAAATATTATTCACAAATAACCATCCATTTCAATGCCAAACTGGTCCCATCTTCACGCTAGTCATATGTAAACATACCGGTATGGCTAGCGGTGACGTCACACACAAGAACACGTGGGAGATAAAAAAAAGCAATATTTCGCTGTATCACAAACAAATAAATGTAAATAATTAGCAATGGAAAATGTGTTTCTGCAACATTTTGAGAGACTGTGCCTAAGCAGAATAATATATTGTTATTATTATAGTAAGCAGAATAATATATTGTTATTATTATAGTTATATAGTAAATATACTGACAATAAAATAGTTCCTTTGATGGCCACTGCTGGCGCTAGCATCTGGATGTGGAAGCATAATCTTTGTTTAAAATTCAAACAATTTAATATCTTACTACACCACAAGTTAATACATTTAAATAATTAATAATGGAGAATATGTTGCTGGAAAACTTTAAGAGACCGGACCTAAATAGAATACGATATTATTATATATTTAGTCAAGATACTAAAACAATAAAGTAGTTCATTTTTTTGCCGCTGCTAGCGCTGGCATCTGTACCACAGTAGCCTGTATGTGAACCTTCCATTCGTAATATTAATTCAGCATGGAATCATGGAGATGCAACTTCTATGATTAATTTGAATCTTAAAAATTAACCTAATGCAAGAAATTAGCAATCAATAATTCAACGTTGTTTTGTAAGTTTTGTACCAACGGAACTACGAAAAACTACATTAAATACGTATTGGCAACTTAAGCTAAAAAAATGCACCACAACTGTAATCAGCTGTGAGAGAAGGTGCCAGAAAGCGCAATGGATTCAATTTAGTCATTTTTTATTTTAAATCGGTCTCAGTTCTTTGGACTAGGAGCGTAAATTACAGTGTAAAACCTATTAAAAGTTTACGTTTCTGCGTGAATTTTGATGCTGTATTGCTGTTAGCATTGAAATACTTGAAAGTATCTCTGATGCAAGAAATACTGGCTAAATACATTTTAATTTAGAAATTAACATCAATCAAAATTACTGTTGTTCAGGCTTCAGGGCTAGCTATGTTGGTTCTTGCGAACTGATTGTTGCATCCAGTCGCTTATAGCTATTGAAAATAGAAATATTTAACACGCTCCCCGCGTATCCAGATTTCCCCAGTATTCCCTTATTGCGGAAGGCTTTCAGTGGTTGCTTCTTCAGTTAGGCGCCATTGGCCGCGACAAGAGGAGGTGTGTGCTGCTCTGTGGCATCATAGCTTTGCATAGCTGCAATAAAAATGTTGGGACACATGTGGTACATTACGCAAGCAAATAATAACCACATGTTGTTCTTGCGTATTGTACCACCGGTGCACCAAGTATTTATTGAGCCATATATGTACCACAATAGAATAGAAGGGAACAGAAGGGAATAGAATGGAACAGAAGGGAATAGAAAGGAATAGAAGGGAATAGATGGGAATAGAAAAGAATAGAAGGGATTAGAAGGGAATAGAAGGGAATAGATGGGAATAGAAAGGAATAGATTGGAATAGAAGGGAATAGAAAGGAATAGATAGGAATAGAAGGGATTAGAAGGGAATAGAAGGGAATAGAGGGGAACAGAAGGGGATAGAAGGGAATAGAAGGAACAGAAGGGAATAAAAGGGAATAAAAGGGAATAGAAAGGAATAGATAGGAATAGAAGGGAATAGAAAGGAATAGATAGGAATAGAAGGGAATAGAAGGGATTAGAAGGGAATGGAAGGGAATAGAAGTGAATAGAAGGGAATAGAAGGGAATAGAAGGGAACAGAAGGGAATAGAAGGTAATAGAAGGAAATATAGGGCTATAGAAGGGAATAGAAAGGAAAAGGAGGGAATTATTAGGTAGAATTATTACAGTTACTTATCGTTTGTTCAAGGAGATTTAAGAATAAATTTTTGTTTCATTGATTTGTTTTACTTAATACTCCACTTTTTGAGTGAACATAAATATTATAAAAGAGAAAGTTTACGTGCAAAATTTCGAGTTATGTGTTTCTTTTTAAAAAGACGTAAAATACTGCGCTTGGTACACTGGTGTCCCAATACGCAGCAGTGGAATATCACTGTTGGTACACATATGGCCCAATTTGCGGTCGCGGGGAACGTGTTAAGCAAGTATTTCTTGCATCAGAGATAATTCAAAGTTTGTTAATGTTAACAGCATTATAATCCATGCAGAAACGTACATTTTTTACATAGATGTTAAAAATTTAGGCTCTATGACTTGTATACTATGCGTACCTAGGATTTCAAATCGATGCATGCATTCAAATTCAAATAAGGCCCACCCATGGCCAGTGTATCTGTCAGCTGCTCAGCTCACCTCTCTTCAGAAGTGTGAAAGCTTTAGCCGGTGAAGGTGTGTTTTACGATCGGTCCGTAAAGAAGCGTTGATCGGTTCAAAATGACATAAGACCAGGTTCTTTTGAATAATCAATAACCTATAGAATTGCACCATGCATCAGAGATAATTCAAAGTTTGCTAATGTTAACAGCATTATATGGTTTATACCTAATACAAGCAGAAACATACTTTTTTTTTTATAGATATTAAAAATTTAGGCTCTATGACTTGTATACTATGTCTATTATAGTCTATAGGATTTTGAATCGATGCATGCATTCAAATTCAAATTAGGTCCACCCACGCTCCACGGCCAGTGTAGCTGTCAGCTCACCTTCTTCAGTAGTGTGAAAGCTTTTGCCGGTGATTGGTGAAGGTGTGTTTAACGATCGGTCCGTAAAGAAGCGTTGATCGGTTCAAAATGACATAAGAACAGGTTCTTTTGAATAACCTATGGATTGGCACCATGCGTGAGCGAACATTGATCGTCTGACCCCCTGGCAACACCGACATTGCCACATTGGTATCGGCTGGGACATATCCAACTCAGCCTCGTCATCAGTTGATCCAGATAACGAATTACTATTTCCTTTTTTCCTACGTTTT